TTCAGCTATTTGAAATTATTTGATACCGCACTTAAAAAATTACCAAAAGTAAAAGGCAATATCTGGCGAGCTGTACCTGGAAATTTAGCCAGTAAATATAAACCAAATCAACTGTTGACTTGGTGGACTATTAGTTCCTGTTCAACATCAGCTGACGTTGTCAAAGCTTTTCTCAAATCGAATCAAGAAGCAACACTCTTCATGATCGAAGCAGTCAACGGAAAAGATCTGACTGGCTATACAATGTATCCCGATGAACACGAAGTCATTTTGGGAGTTGGCACCCAATTACGAGTCAAAAATGTTGGATTTGAACATAATAATTTGCATTTAGTAGTTTTGGTAGAAATTGATGACGATGACGATGACGATGATGATAATGATGATGATCAAACGGGATTAGCAGCAGCGATGGCAACAACATATGTAACACCAAAATCATCCGAATCTACCAAAAAAATAACATCTGGTAAGTCATCTAGTTATTTTCGTTGTTTTTTCATTCGACATGGCAGGAGAACAAGAACTAAATCGAAATAATTTAAGGTCTGGCAAAGTGAAGTTGTAGATGTTCTATTAAATAATTTAATATAAAATGAATGTAAGTTTATTCAACGAATCATTAAACTTGTACCGTTTGAATTAGAAAATTTATTAATATATATTTGATTATTGCATACGTATGTATTGTCAATTTCACGTCGTATGATTTTATTCATTCATATCTATTGTGTGATACAGAGCTGCCAGCCTGGCCTGCTGGCCTGCACCGGCCTGCCAGCCTGCCAGGCCAGGCTACCAGGCCAGGCCGAGTTTTAAGATTTTAGCCTGGCCTGCTCCAGGCCGGATTAGATTCAGCCTGGTCTGCAGGCCAGGCCAGGCCAACATTTGTGGCCTGAATGACATGTAGTCAAATTTTTCGGGCATTGATCCATTCTGATTAGAAGTGGCATTGCAGATTTAAAGTACTTTGATAAAGTAATTTGAGTTGAATTTTAATTTTAAAAGTCCTAATAAATTTTAAAATTCCTAATAAATTTTAAAATGACATGCTTTAATTTTAAGACAAACACCTGTTGCATGCCTTGATTCCCGACATTTTATACGAGTCTTTTCGTAAGCAGAATTGTGAATGTATCGCCTCACAGTGTCCTGCGATGAATGA